TCATGTTGGTTCCAGCTTATGGTGACCCTTTTGAGGTAGAAAGTACTCAGGAAGGGGAACCTTTACCTTTACCTTTATAGTGACCCTTTTCAGTATTTTTAAGGTAGAAAGTACTCAGGAGTGGTTTCCCATTCCCTTCTTCTGGGGTGCCCTGGGAATGTGCAGGTTGCCCAAGGCCACATAGGTTGGCTCAATTTAACAGGAGGGACAGTGTGGAATCAAACTCCTAACCTCTGGATCTCCAGCCAGATACCCAACTTACTGATCAGTCAGTAAGGGTGGGAAAGGTTCTGGCCAGCAAAAGCAGAGAGAGGCTTAAGTATGAGATGGACTGATTTCCTAGAGGAAGTGACAGGCTTGAGTTTGTAAGATGGTCATCAGGGCTCTTGAGGACATGATATTTGGAGAACTCTCATCCTTATAGTCACCCTAAGTCAGAGATGACTTGACTGCACATAACAAGAACAACTGCAGAGTAAAAGCAGTCACTGAGAAGTTCTGAAGTCTCGAAAAATCATCCATTCATTCTTTTCATTTTTAAACCACCTCTGGTCAGAATTTCCTGGGCAATATAAAGCCAGCAGGAAAGGGTAACAAACACCCTACAGGTCAGAAGACCAAGCAGTCGTAAGATCGAATCCATGTGACGGAGTGAGCTCCCGTTGCTTTGTCCCAGCTCCCGCCAACCTAGCGTTTCGAAGGCATGCAAATGCAAGTAGATAAATAGGGACCACCTCGGTGGGAACGTAACAGCGTTCCGTGTCTAAGTCGCACTGGCCATGTGACCACAGAAGATTGTCTTCGGACAAAACGCTGGCTCTATGGCTTGGAAACGGGGATGAGCACCACCCCCTAGAGTCGAACACGACTGGACAAAAATTGTCAAGAGGAACCTTTACCTTTACCTTTTAGGAAAGGGTAACAAACACCCTACAGCTTGTAAGGCTAAAATAAAGCTAGCAGCAGAATAAAGAGTGCCAAGCATTAAAATACCTAGGAGAATTTTCTCAAATCCTTCACTCAGTGTTTTAGACACTAGAACAATGATGCCATGAAAACTCCCCAGGGCAGGTGTTTCACAGGCAAGCTGATGCTACTGAAAAAGCCTTCTCCTGTGTCTATTCCCCTGGGTAAAAAAACTGGAAGTAACTTGGGCAAGTTCTCTGTATATGGAATTACAGGGTTACATCAGTTTGATGTAAAATCTGTAGCACTGTCTCTGTCTGTCTCTCTCTGTTTTCTCATCCACCCATATGCTGAGCCTGACTTGCTTTTTAAATTGAGGGTTGATTCCTAAAATTAGAAAACATTCCAGTCCCCAGAAACATTTCTGCAATGTACAATCCTGGGAAACAAAAGTGAGCTGTAATTGTTGGGTCCTTTTGTCTGGCTTGGTTTTGCTTTTGTCTGCGGACTCTCAGTTTGGGAATCGACCACTCCTAAATGGTGGCATTCCATGTGAATTCAGGCAGAAGAGCCCGGCAGTAGAAAGGGCAGGAATCTAACAGCCAGATCACACTTTTGTTTAACCGTGGTTCTGGATAGTGTCATATGGAAGCCCCCCCCCCTTGCATTGAATGTTGACCCTTTGCACTGGTTTGCTTGAAGTAGACAATGTAACATACTGAGAAGCTGATCAGCAGAAACTACAGTGTAATTTCCGGACTTCGCAAACCAAATGGCAAGATTATAAGGGGTGGGCAGGAAAAGATCTGTTCATGGACATATCTTTTGCTACAGTCCTATCCTTTTCCAGAAAACCGAGCTGTTCAAAAATCTCAGAATTTCTCATGCTAATAATCTGGTTGTGGAATATTGAGATATCCAGCAGCAATCTATTTTATGACAAGAGAAAAAAAAGAAGTAGATAAAGGGTGTGCCTGTCTCTGTCTCATTGTGTGTTTGAGTGTGTGTGTTTCTGTGTCTGCTCTTTAAATATAATGAACAATGGTTTCACTTTTTCTTTCTTTCTTTCTTTCTTTCTTTCTTTCTTTCTTTCTTTCTTTCTTTCTTTCTTTCTTTCTTTCTTTCTTTCTTTCTTTCTTTCTTTCTTTCTTTCTTTGATTTGAATGCCACTCCCATTAGGACCAAGGTACTATTCTGGATGGTTTACTACAACAACAACAACAACAGCCAATAACAACACAGGAAATAAATGAAAACGGAACTGCTATCAACAACTCCCATTAACTCCCATTAACAAATAGCCAATGAAACAGGTGGCACTGAAAAATTATGCAGAAAAATGGCAGATGAAAGCTGAGCGGTCAACTAGGGCTGGTAGGGGGAAACATCCCTGGAAATCTCCCTGTCTTCAACTGCCTCCTTAATGTCCACAGGGAAGGTGAACAGTGGATGATCACAGAACAAAGAAAGGCTAACTGCCTTAGAGAGAGAACAAAGGAGTCGACAGAAAAAGTCCGAGCCAGCGGAGCCTACTGGCAACGCCCTGAGAGCTCTTTTATTTACTTAGCATGATTACATAGTATGTTATGAGAGAAACAGATAGGATACTAGTTACCTAATTGTAACTAGGATAGGCTAAAATAACCCTTTGATCTTATGCTCTACATCTAAGCAAAACTGCAAAAGGGGGGCTACCTCGCCCGCTGACAGCTGCCGCATCCTGCCAGGAGTTTTTGCATGCCACTGGAACAGAATGCAGCTACAACCTTTAAGCAGAAGTTTTCCATAGTGAACCTCCTTCACAAGCTGGTTCCACAAAGTTGGAGCCACTGCAAAGAAGACCCTGCCTCTTGTGGATGACTTATGGGCCTCCCACAGGGTGGCTACCTGGAAGAGCCTCATCTATGATGATCTAGTAGGTTGGGCAGATGAAATTGGGGAAAGACACTCCAACAAATAACTTTCGTTAGGAAAGTTTCAGATCTTTTCAACAGAGAAACACATGCCAGTGTCTTTCAAAGTTTATATGTTTTCACTGTAATGGTTTGTCCAAGAACCAGCAGGAAGACAAAAGGAGAAACATGTCTGGATCACATTTTGATGCATCTTTCAGTCCTAGATTTAGAAGAGGTAGCCATGTTAGTCTGTGCTAGTATATCATGAAAAAATCAAAAGAAAAGTAAACAATTACAGGATCTCAATAATAGTACCAATGATAATAAACAAACTTCCCAATCCGGTGTGGAAATGGAACAGAAAAGGAGCTGAACAGATTCTATGTTCTATGAACTTTGTTCATGTGCCTCTTCATTATAGGAGTAGGCACAGGGGGTTATGAAAGGCAGATAACCTTATTAAAAATGTGCTCATAGTCACTTAGATGTGAATCACATTTCATAGGGTTTATCCCCTAGACATTGTGGATAGGACTGTTATTCTATGTGGAGTCTGGGTGTGTAATTACATGGAGTGTGTCATGAACAAGGCAGAGGAGGCATTAAACCAAAATTTCTGGGGTTAGTGGAAGCTGCCCTGGTCATGAACTGTCTAAGGCAGTGATTCCCAGGCTTGTGTCCCTTTGTATGTTCTTGGACTGCAACTCCCAAAAGCTTTCACCACTAGCTGTGCTGGCAATGACTTCTGGGAGTTGTAGTTCAAGAACATCTGGGGACCCAAAGTTGGGAACCACTGATCTAAGGCAGTGGTTCTTAACCTTGGGTGACTCAGGTGTTTTTGAACTGCAGCTCCCAGAAGCCCCAGCCAGCACAGCTGGTGGTGAAGGCTTCTGGGAGCTGCCGTCCAAAAACACTTGAGTAACCTAAGGTTAAGAACCACTGATCTAAGGGATTAAAGCTCCCCAAATCTCACAGGGACTTATGTATGTTTTCCAGACTTTGGTTCCAGGTTTACAACAGACTGTTAAATTACTAATGCCTTGGCCAGATGCCACATTTAAAAGTAAAAGATGGAAGTAAAAAGCAGATCCATAACGTAGTGGTGACTTTGGTTCCAGGTTTACAACAGACTGTTAGATTACTAATGCCTTGGCCGGATGCCATATTTGAAAAGTAAAAGATGGAAGTAAGACCATGGGAGCCTTAATGAATTAAGCCAAATGTGCCATCTATCTAGTCTAGTGCCTCGATTCCATTAAGAAGATGTTGGGTTGGGGAACACTGCTCTGTCCATTCTCCAGAAGAAAAAGCAGATCCATAACGTAGTGGTGGAATAGATGCCTTGATTGCAGAAGGTTTCAGGTTGAAACCACCAACATCTATAGAGAGGGTTGGGGAGGAAAAAAATAGTGTGAAATCCTGGGGAGCCTCTACCAACCCATGGGGTTCAAAAGGCTCAGATAGATGGATCTGTGGCCTCTCTAGGAATTCAGCTGTTTCATTTCTTCTGAACGCTTGCCCTAGGAGGGGTGTCCAAAATCCTTTAACTGCCCTGTTGCATTTCACTAGCCCACACCGGACATCCAAGCGGTTACAAAAAACATACAGAAAAAACAAGACTCAAACCTAACCACCACAAATGATAGAGTTGAGCTATCCTTTTGTTGTTTAGTCATTAAGTCGTGTCCGACTCCTTGTGACCCCATGGACCAGAGCACAGCAGGCCCTCCTGTCTTCCACTGCCTCCTGGAGTTGGGTCAAATTCATGTTGGTAGCTTCGGTGATACCATCCAACTATCTTGTCCTCTGTCGTCCCCTTCTCCTCTTCCCTTCACACTTTCCCAACACTGCCTTGTCCTACTTTCCATTATAAGGCATTCAGGAATTTAAGGATACTGCAAATGTTCCTCTACACCTCCTTTCTGTCTTTCAAAAGGGAAAGGGGGGGGAGCCACATCTCTCAATGCCAAAGTCACTTGACCCTCTTTCAAATTAAAGCCGCAATTCAAGGACCACCTTAGCAATTCCTATTGGGCTAGGCTGCCTTTCAGTCAAGAATAAATGCTAATTATCCTTCTTCTGGAACTCATAAATAAAGGTCTGTTGGCCTCAGAAATTTATCCAGAGTGAATGTTGGCTCTAGTTACACACTCTGACAAAGTTTTGGTGGGGAGAAAGAGTCAATCTGGGCCTCCTTTCTCTCTTTTTCAGTGGGTATCATGGGTTAAAACATGATCTGTCTGTTGCTACCTTAAAATTCCAGCAAAACACACATCTGGCAACTGCCCTCTCTCCCCCCTCCTTCTTGTTTCCACTGGTTTTTCAGACTTCCTCTGGTGGTGGAGACTGCCCATCTGGATGTTTTAAGCATACAAAGGAATTGCTGGAGCAAGCGAAAAAAAGCGGGAGAGCCCCCGAGGAAAGTTAAAAGATGTGCCGATAAGCCCCTGATAAGACTTGACAACAACCGCCAAGGAGCAAAAAAAAAAGAAAGTGCTTTCTGGAGAAGAAATAGAGGGGCATAACAGGAATCTAGCAACAGGATGAAGGTCTACATTTCCCTCAACTTTGTGGGCTGTGTTTTAGAAATCCTTCTGATCCAGCTCTCCATCTTTCCCCCGACCTCAGCACCCCCACCACCAACCTTGAGACTTTCAGAAGACGTGTCGGGTCGAGAATTGATACCATCACCCATCATAAAGTTTCCAGGGGATGTTTCCCCCAGAACGGACAAAGAACTGGCATTGGTAAGTTTTTCTTTATTGATATTCTTCCCCCTTCCCTTCTTCAGAAATGCTCTGCAAGGACTTGCTAAGGACAGGATCGTGAGCCAAAATGTTAACCTTCTGTCTCTTAACTATTGGGAAAAGGGGGAAGGGGCTGGTGAAGTTCTCAGCTTTCCATTAAGTAGCAATGTGCCTCTTGCAAAACTTTTGAACGTAGAGCAAAAAAAACAAGCCAACGTGCATATCCTTGCAGTTTTGAATAATTGCCCTGTAGAAACCTGCACAGAGGTATCCCTCGGTTCCTTGAAGGATCTGGGCCTTAAATAAAGAGCAAAAAGAAAAAGAAAGCCATTCACATTGTAATGTGATAGAACGTTGGTTTGTCTTATATCGTTCTCAGCATGCCTAAAATATTGCCGTTAATAATAGTAATAATCATGTTCGGTCTACTCCAAGAACGTTGGTTTGTCTTATATCGTTCTCACCATGCCTAAAGTATTGCCATTAATAATAGTAATAATTATGTTCGGTCAACTCAGTTCTGACTTATGGAGACCCATTTCAGGGTTTTCTAGGTAGAGCATGTTCAGAAGTCGGGTTTTCTAGGCAGAGCATATTCAGAAGTACCAGTCCCTTCTTCTGGGTGCGTCTTGGAACTGTGCAGCTTGCCCAAGGCTACACAGGCTGGCTCTTCTCTCAGGAAGCACAGTGAGGAATTGAATTCCCAACCAGATGCCTAAACCACTGAACTTTCCAGTTGGCTATTCGTATGGTGAAAACAATTTCTTCCTTCAATCAACCATGCTCTTGAAGTTTACCAGGCATCATCTGAGCACAGGCTGAGTAGCAATTTAGGGTTGGATTCTGGCTTGATTTTCTGGCAAGCGTAATGACTAGTCAGAATGCAGCTCTGTTTGAAACAGCAAAACTTCCCCTTAAAATATGGATCTAGGTTGTGTAACCGAATCTGAAGAGTTACTGGAGAAACATTTCCTGCTATTGTGGCTAGGTGAAAATTAATGTGTGTGTGTGTGAGAGAGAGAGAGAGATTTGTGTGTTTTCTTGAGCATTTATTTTCTTTTTAGAGAGAGAGAGAGAGAGAGATGTGTGTGTTTTCTTGAGCATTTGTTTTCTTTTTTTTAAAAAAAATACAGTCTAGAAAATAAAACTTAGGAGAAATGAAGGGTAACTACAAATTAAGTTACCTAAAACTCTCCTATGAATGTTCCCTATGAATGCTCCCTCTTTCTTTGCTGGATTACTCTCAAGTAATTGTGCACAGTATTACAGCCCAGCAGCAGAATCCCATACATGTTTGCTCGGAAGTAGGTCCCATTTGAGTTTAGGCTTGCTCTCTAGGTACTGTGCTTTGCATCCTGAACTAAGGGTGCCATTCATCCTCAATGGGTAGCCATGTTTCCTCCTCACCTGCTCACCCCCAGTCCCAATTGAGGAGTGATTGATGGCTACTTTAGACATTAACCGCTAAATGCAGGACACAGAGGTGAAGTAAACCATGTGCTAGGAAAGTAGACATCTTTTTTCCACTAGAGGGAGCACTCCTAAATATGCACTACATGTGCATATAGTGTGATCTCCAGTCTCGTTTCTAGGGCCAACATAGAGACATGCATTGCTCAACCAGGCATCCTCAAAATGTCAACCTCAGCTTTGGAGACAAAGAAATGACTTACTTAAACATATAGCACAGCCAATGTTTGCCTCAACTCACCACAAGACTAGGTTTGCCATTAAGCTAATCACAGACAGATGGAAAAGACAGACTAGGATAGTGATTGTGGTCATCAGTCTTTGTAGACCACAGTTTTGAAACCTCATTTTAAGCAAAAACTGTGCACATTCCATTCCCTTGAACGTCGAGACTTCCTGGAGATGTCATGTGTTTCTATTGTGATGCAACATGGGCTCCCAATATTTGGAGAGAAAGCAGAAAAACAGAGGGAGAAAATATCTGGGCACATCAAGGGGTGGAATCCTATAGGTCAAAAAAGCTATTGTGCTAAGGAAGCAAGAGGCAGGAAAAAATTATTCTTTGGGACGGATCTAAGAATGGGTTACACAGAAAGAAAGTGGTCTGTGTGTGTTAAGTGCCAACATGGGGGAAAGACTGCTAGGTGGTAAATAGCTTTGGCTGTTGTTTTTCTGCCAATGGTCCTAGCAAAACGAGCGGTTACCCTAATCAGTCACCCAGATAAGGAGCAGGAAAAGGCAATGAAAAGGGTCAAAGGAGGGAACTCCTCATAAACCAAGAAAATAATCTGGTTAATCTGGTACAGGTGATTGGCAGGAGATAATCTGGGGAATAAATCAGCAGAAAGACTTGGGTTCACTTTTGTTATCCTTAAAGAAAAGACTGGATAGTGAGTAAAGAATGGTAGTATATAAACATATCATCACCGTTGTTTTAGAACTGCAGAGCTGGAAGGGATTTTATTGATTATCAAATCCAGCCCCTGTCAAGGAATCCCGATGCGGAAGCCAACTCCAAATCTCTGGTTCCACAGCCAGAGACCTAATCACTGAGCTATCCAGCAGTGATATGTATGAGAGAGTGGAATCTATTGCCATTAAGCACACACCCCTCTCTCAAGACAACAAAACCTTTTGGATTGCAAGATCTGCTCTGTTGTTATTCTTTACTAGAACCCTAATTTCCCCCGAATGGAAAATGACACTTAAGCCTATTCAGGCATTCTAAAAGAGGTTGAAGGAACATACAAAGAAGAGAGAATGCTAGTCCAACTCTACTCTGACCTTTTACAAGTGCAGGTTCTGAAAAGAAGACCTTGTTCTATTCACGTGAGCCAAAACTCCTGGAAAAGCAGAGTCCTGTGTTCCATTGGAAGCTGATTTACTTTGCCTAGAAGCCCTATTCTGTTTTTACCTTCCCAGTAGGTATGAACAACTTAGGGAGGAGACAATAACAATCTCCCTTCTCAGATTCATCACACTGCATATAAATATAACACCAAGCAGGCATGGGTAATCGCTCCTCTCTAAACATATTGATAACAACCAGGAGGTAATGGCTGAATAGGGCTAAACTCGTCTCCAACCTGAAGGTAGTAGCCTGTCCTGGGAATGAAATTTATGAGACAGTCATCAAGCAGGATAAAGCAGGATATACAATTTAGTTGTGGCCTCTTCCTCGGGACAATGAGCAGAAGCCCCGACAAGGATTTACCTTGTCAGGGCTCCTCCTCTAGATCAGTATACCCACCATAGGGATGGAAGATTGGAAATGAAGTCCAGCACACCTAGACAGAATCAAGATGGAAGAGGTTTCTCTGTACTGTACTTCAGGAAGCCTTGAAAACAGGACAACCACTTCCTGATTGTCTGTCCATTTGCATGTACCTATCTTGCTTCACCCACTGTTTCTGCACATTGATATGTTGGATCTCAAAGCCCAGAATCCCCAGCTGACATGGCCAGTGAGCAGGGATTTGAGGACCTGAAGCCTGACTCTTCCAGAAGACCAAATGTTAAGAGCTACAACCAATCTGGTAGCTACCATTTGTAAAAACAAACAAACAAACAAAAAACACCCTGCTCTCACTGGCCAGCTAGACCAAATTCATACCCAAGATAATCAGATATGATCTCATGCTTAAGCAGAAAAATGTGTTCATTTGTGACTGTAATAATGTTGTGGATTTCTCCCCCCTTCTGCTATTAAAGCAATATCTCAACAAGTACTATGGATGCCCCAAAGACAACTGCAATCTGTTTGTGCTCAAAGATACTTTGAAGAAAATGCAGAAATTCTTTGCACTGCCTGAAACGGGAGAATTGGACCAAAATACCATCGAAACCATGAAGAAACCCCGTTGTGGCAATCCGGACGTAGCCAATTACAATTTCTTCCCTAGAAAACCAAAATGGGAGAAAAACCTCGTGACCTACAGGTAGGCCATAGCATCTGATAAGGACTTCTGTGAAAATAGATTGTCCCAAGGGGGAAGTCATGTATAGTCAAAGGAGTATTGCCTGCGGGTGAGCCTTTTCACAAGACCATCTTACGCTGAAGCTATGGAGAGAGACGTATGTAGTGAAGGAGACTTGCACCTCAAATATGGTTGTAAGAGTTGACTTGGTGCGGGTGAGCCTTTTCACAAGACCATCTTATGCTGAAGCTATGGAGAGAGACGTATATAGTGAGGAGACTTGCACCTCAAATGTGGTTGTAAGAGTTGACTTGGAATGCAGCTTCTTCTGTTCAGAAGAGGTACGTCCAGAGCTAATTCCAGTTTTAGTATTGAGTACCCTTTCTGAATGGCTTTGCTTTCTCCAGTAGCCCTCACTTATCCTTAGCCTTTTGAGTCCAACTTCACAGCTGTCCAAAAGGAGATAAGTCTAAGAAGCTGCTCTGCTTCCTCACTTTTGTTCAAGGTGAGGAACATCAATCTTGGTAGCCAAGTCCAGACCTCTTGAGGTTCTCCAAATTGTCATAATCCCTTGGAAGGCAGGAAGGACAATAGGTGATTGAATGTGTGGTCTTCTGTATGCTTTCATCCTTCACTACTCACTATGCTCCCTAAGACTGATGGGAACTGTAGACTAATAACATCTGGAAAGGCAGATGTTCCCCGTCTCCAGTTTAGAGCCTTGACAAAGCAAACTATGAATGAGATACAGGCAAACTTTCAACACTGGAAGATGCCCCACACTTCACACGTTTAGGTCTTGATGTTCCTTATTATAGAGGCCATTGCTTCGCCAAAAGGGCTGCCCCATAATTTTAGAACATCTTGACTTCTAAGAGCCTAAAAATGGCTCTTCCGTTCTTTCAGATGCTGCTGCACAGGCTCCAGAGTGTCTGCCTCTCTCGGTCTCTTTCTTTCTGTTTTTAAAAATCATCTGGCACTTTTAGCTGGAGATGATATGAACCCCAGAGGCCATGTTATGTCTGCAGAAAGAAAGCAGACCAGAAATTACAGAGCAATCTGGGCAGGCATATTTTAACAAGCACTTCATCCTCCATTAAAAGTCTGGTTGGATAAGTTTTAGACTGGGGACGTACAGCAGGACTCCTTTAATGACTTCCATATCTGTTTAAGCCCTGGGGCTCAGTGCTTAGTGTCTCTGTATGCACACCTCTTTTTTCCCTGCGCCTCCCACAGATCAGATGCTGCTGGCCAGGAATGAACAACGGCACGCTGTTTCATTCACATAGCCAGGGTCTCACCTCCAGTTTCCAAACACATGGAATCAGGCTGAAGCTTAGCTGGGGGAACTGTACTGAACATTTGTAATCATCACTCCTAGAACTGATATTACTGTTTATTACTTGATAGAAATAAATGTGGTCTTTCTGCAGAAACAACATTCTGAGCTGAGAAATACCTTTCCTGAGTATAAGATGCTAACAATGGTGTTAGTTAATGTAGAATTTTTACTTCTTTGTTTCTCTTACCTTGTACACACATAAATTTTGGGTGGATTCTGAAGCTGGCTTATAGGCAGATGGCTGATATTTATGAGAATGCACATCTAAGAAACAAAGGATGGGTCATTGTAAAGAACATATTATATATCGCAACTTATTGTTTTGTATCAAGTTAGAATAGATTAAACTTCTTTATCACCCCCAGTTATTTGAAAGGGAACTCAAGGAAGGGAGCAAGCAAATCTATTCATCAATGTCACAGTGGATCCCAGCCTTGGGTAACCCAGGTGTTTTTGGACTACAATTCCCAGAATCCTTCACCAGCAACTATATTGGCTGGGATTTCTGGGAGTTTCAGTTCTAACTGTACTAGGACAAGGTCCGTCACACGAGGGGTGGTGTCTTTTCAGGTTTAATCCAAAGGTGGTATCTGATGCAGCTTTTGTGGTTCAGGTGGCCACCACGTGGGTTGTGCAGGCAGCTGTACAACTGGTCATGCAAAAGCTGTTGTGCAGAGAGTTGTCCAGCTGTTTGCAGAGCTGCCTGTATAATGACTCAATTCAGGGAAGTCTGGTAGAAGAGATTTTCATACTAATAGTGTTCTGTTGGTTGTAGGTCAAAGTCAACAGTTATTTATAGCAATAGTGAAAACCCTATTAGCAGCAATCAACCAACCAACAAGGCTGAAGCACAAAGATCATTGCAACTTCAGCCAAATGCCTTGTCAAAGAGCCAAAATGTGCTGCATCCAGTGCAGAGTCAGGGTTTGACCAATCTCTGTTGGTAGAGGGTTCCCCATGGTGGTGCCACCACTGGAAAGGCTCTGCGGTAGCTGTCTAGGTTCATCCCCAGCTTCCTAAGATCAAGAAATAGGAGCTCATGGTACAGATGATGAGTTGGGGGAAGTTATATGGAAAAAAATGGACCTTGAGGTGCCTACCTCCCAAGTTGTGTTTTAAAGATTCATACCATGACCTTGGATTGGATTTAGGAAGAAACAAGCAGACGGTGCAACTCAACTGAAGTAGGCATGATATAATCATGCATCATGAACAAAAGGGATGTCTAAATGAATCCCTTCCAATCAGATTAAAATGGACATGAGCATTCAGTACAACCAACATGGGGTGAGAAATCCACTGATCTTTCTCTGTATTCTTTTTCCCCAACTTTGTATTTATTTATTTATTCTCATTAAGGATTTTAGGTTACACCCCAGATCTGGATTCTGAAACGGTGGATGATGCATTTGCCCGAGCCTTCAAAGTCTGGAGTGATGTCACACCACTGGAATTTTCCCGAATTCATGATGGGGAAGCAGATATCATGATCAATTTTGGGCGTTGGGGTACGTTAATAATATTTTTTTGAGGGGCAACCCAGTCCGCTACCACTTCCTTTCTTCAACCCTCTGTGTCTTGATTCCAACACACCTTATACGCAGTTGGAGGGAGGAAATAAAGCACTCCTGTCCTTAGTCTAGTTCTCTGGACATAGTAGGGTAAAATATAGCAGTGCAGCTGATGTGGTCCTGTGTCAGTGAGGCAGTGAATCTGCTCCAGGTTTTGGTGTGAACTTTCAAGGAGATATCCAAGGTGCTGTGCCTAATTGGGGGTAGGGTACAGTGTCATGGAAAGCCCATGTAAATCTCAGCCCAAAACTCAGAGTGGAATATACAACATTACAACAGATCAACGGCTTCCACTGCAACCGGGGGGGGGATCCAGGCTTTGATTGATTGATTGATTGATTGATTGATCGATCGATTGATTGATTGATCGATCGATCGATCGATCAATCAATCAATCAATCAATCAATCAATCAATCAATCAATCAATCA